GGACAAAACTGACTTGACATTCCAAGTCCAGAGTTTTCTGTCTGTTGGCTGAGGCTGTCACTAGATCTGCAGTACCTCATCTTCTTCCTCTGACCACTACAGCTTTCATTTAGCTTCTTTTTCAAAGAGATCTTCCTAATAAACTTTGTGCATGCTGTCTCTGTCTCCAAGTCTCTTTCCCAGAGAACCTAGCCCATGATAGTTATCACTTCCTGTGAGGAATTTAACTTCTTCATTTTCATCAATTAGTCAAAGAAACTGAAGAACTCAAATTCCAAAAGGAATTGGTATGGGAGTGGGTTTACATGCTACGTTTAAAGTTCATTTATTTGGAAGATTTATATGTTAAACTTTTGAAAAAAAAAAAGTATTGGTGTGGAGAAGAGTAATACTTTAAGACCAAACATCAAAAATTCTTGAAAATTACAGTAGCTGAAACAGATACCAATGCAACACTGTAGACAGACAAATAGGTAAAGGAAAGAATCCAAAATCTTATATATTGTATTGCTGAATATAACATATGATGATTCATGAACTGAAAAGAAAAAGATGGAATATTTAATAAAGGTGTTGGGGAAAATATCTATACATTTGGGGGAAAAAGTTTTTTGGAAATTGTCTCAAATCATACCCCGAATGAATTGCTAGATGCATTCAAACACATAACAATATTCAGCTTGGGCAACATGGTGAGACCTTGTCTCTAAGCAAAAATTTGATAAACAAAAAAGTGAGACACTTGTGGTGGTACACATCTCTAGTTCTATCTACTCAGGTGTCAAGCAGGAAGGTTGCCTAATTCCAGATGCTGGAGGTTAGAGTGTGCTATGATCGTGTCACTACATGCACCAGCCTGGATGATAGAGCAAGATGGAAGGAAGGAAGGAAGGAAGGAAGGAAGGAAGGAAGGAAGGAAGGAAGGAAGGAAGGAAGGAAGGAAGGAAGGGAGGGAGGGAGGGAGGGAGGGAGGGAGGGAGAGAGGGAGGGAGGAAGGGAGGGGAGGGCAGGGAGAGGAGAAAGAAAGAGTGAGAGAAGGAAAGAAAGAAAGAAAAGACAACGAAAGAAAGAAAGAGAAAGAAGAAGGAAAGAAAGAAATAAAGGAAAGAAGGAAGGAACAAAGGAAAGAAAGAAAGAAAGAAAGAAAGAAAGAAAGAAAGAAAGAAAGAAAGAAAGAAAGAAAGAAAGAGAAAGAAAGAAAGGAAGGAAGGAGGGAAAGAAAGAAAGGGAGAGAGAGAGGGGGAGGGAGGGAGGGAGGGGGAAGGAAGGAAGGAAGGAAGGAAGGAAGGAAGGAAGGAAGGAAGGAAGGAAACGAAAAAAGATGTAGGAATTTAAAGCTACTATAAAATATAGAAGAATTTCAAAAAATAAATCCTTCCAAAAAATAAGATAGCAATGTTAGAACTCTAAAAGATAAGAATTTAAATTTAAATTTAATGAAATTTAAAGCTTATGATTGACAAAGAAAACCGTAACTTCCACAAACATGAAGAGATAAAGCACAGAAATTAGAAAATGTTTTTTAAAACTTATAATAGATAGGTGATCGGCATCCTTAAAATACAAAGCCCTTCAACGAATCAGTCTACCAACATTATTCATTTTTTCTTGTGAGTCATAGAAAATTCATAGCATTTACAACTTTAATTGTAAATTTAAATCTCTATTAAATTGACAATAAAAGTATATAATTTCTGTCCATCTTTCCATCTGCACTCCAGTTGAGATTTCTTTCTTAGTGGACCTGGATACTCCACACAAAAATCTGAAATATAACTGGCACATTTAGCTAGTGAATAGTGGGTCATAAAGTTATTTTACCCAAGTCCAAATATACTGATTTATCCAGGAGCTTCTTGAAGATATTACGCTAGGAACCAGGGTCACTTTCCACAAGGCCTTCTAGATACTGATTCTCAAGCCAGTATTTTGACATTCATCTGACAGTTTCTGAAGGCCACGTTTGGGAAAATTTGTGACTCCAGTACAGCTTGATGCTAGTATATCAGTTTTGGTAATCCTTATCTAGGCAGTAACAGCCTTATAGATACAGAAATTGAGGAGTCAGAGATAGAAGGATTTTTCAGGAAATCTAAGTGAGCTTTTGTTTGCTTTTTAGGAGGGCATAACCTGCATGTCCTGAAACACACAGGAAAAGCTACACAATTTTTGAGATCTCATCTTTATTTACATTACTGCACTCTTTGTGTTTCTGTTTTACCTAAAACTCTGGAATCAACTACATTTCCAGAATATATTCTTTATTAACAATTTTTTCTTATTTTTAATTTTTGTGGGTATATATGTATGGGGTACATGAGATGTTTTGATACAATCTTGCAATGTCAAATAAGCACATCATGGAGAATGGGGAATCCATCAACTCAAGCATTTATTCTTTGAGTTACAAACAATCCAATTACACTCTTTTAAGTTATTTTAAAATGTACAAGTAAGTTATTATTGACTATAGAATATATTCTCATAAAGCATATACTTATGACACACAGTCTACTATTCCTTATTTTAGCACAGTCTTGCCTAAAAGAGCAGGGATCTAGGCACTTGATGTTAATGTTGCTGACCTGACACTCACCTATCGCCCTTTGGCATACCCCCAGGCCCAATTTGAAGCCTGTGATTAACATATAAACAGCTTTTGTTGCTGTTGACATTGAATTTTTTCTTGGCCTTTTTATCTAGCCATTTTGCTTTAAGCAACACATTCTTGTTAGAACTCGTTGTCCCATTGTTTTTCTTAGTATAAATTATTAATGTGCTGTTAGACTAAAGTACTGTATCTGAACACTGATTATGCAGGACTGACACCATACTAAAACCCTTGCAAGAATAATAACTAATATTCGTTGAATGCCAACTGACATATGATACTGTGCTAAGACCTTTGTCTTTACCTATATTATTACATTTAATCTTCATAAAACCTATACAATGTGTATTAATAGCTTTGTTTACAGATCATGAAACTAAGGACAAAATTCAGATGACTTAGGAAAAGTTACAAAGCTTTGAGTGTGAGAGTTTGAAACTTAAACCAAGGCCTCTCTGACAGAAAGTATCAGAGTATCATCTCCCTAAACTAACTGTTATTGCTACCTCCTTTATAGTATGGCAGTTAGAATCAAAATCTATCCCATGGCCGACATCTTTCTGAAGGAAGTATAGGTATTTATCTTTCCTTCAATGATATCTATCTTTTCTTCAGTGAAGTTCAGATAGTCACACTTCTAGCCACTCTGTGACATTTTCTAGTTCTCCATATTTTGTTCTTAGTGGTTGTAAGACTCTGGGTTCATAACAAACTAATCACTTATCACAAAATGGTTTAGAATTTATTTCTTTATAGAAAGTTACTCTACAATATCCTTTTTATTCTTGGTTATAAAATACTTATGTCATATAAATGTTACAATTTTCAAGTAATAAAGTTATATTTCTCATTGTTTAATTAAACCAAGATACGGGGCACTGATAATCATTTTTTAACATTTTTTTTAAATTATTTTTTTATTTTCCTTGTTTCTTCATTTCTTGCTGCTTCATTGCCACAGAAGCTAAATCCATTAACAAAGACTGTCCTATTTCTTATTTATTTATTTCTTATTTCTTATTTATTTTATTTTCCCAATATTTTGACCAAGTAGGCTCAGAGATTTTTTCAGTCCAACTCTTTTCTTCCGTCTTTTGAGTGAATGTTAAAAACATGTATTCGTTACCTTTCTTAGGACTCATTGTTTTATTTTTCATGAATTATTCTTTTGAAATATTTATGAAACATATCTTAGTACATTCAATTTAATTTCTGGCCTTCTAATTTGCACTTTGGTAATTGTTTGTAGAGAGTTATCCACTTAGATACTTGAAGGACTTCAGAGTAGGTGGGAAACTATGTAAACTGAAAAAGGAAGTGTTTAACCATAATTTTTAAACTCCATTATTCTTAATCTTAGTAGAGGAAAATAGAACATTGATTTACTTCAGAAAAACTTGTATTTGTAAGAACAGGAGGATAAACAGTGGTATTACTTTTAATAAGTAATACATATAAAAAAGAAGATGTTGACTCTGTTGTTTCAGTGAATTAATAAATTTCTGCATGCAAAAAAGGTTATCAATATGAATGGACTCAGTAATATTGTACTTTCTTTATTCTGGTAGATTGTTCTTCCTTTTTGGTTCTTGACAGTAATCACATGCGTCTACTTTGCATAATGCTACAAAATGTTATTCTTATAACCACATCTTAAAATCAACTCAGTACTTTTGAAAAATACTTTTACTTAACTTAGTTTTACTTTGAAATTTGATTTTATTTTTAACTTTACTAAAACTGGAGTACGTTTAAATAAGGAGACTGTCTAATTTTGGATGCATTAAGTTACTCTCTCACAACAATGAATTTGTTACCTCTTTTTAAGTAAGGTGGAAGCAATGTTTTATGCTATTTTGTTGTTCAATCTGCTCTCAAATTATGTATTCACTGGTGTTGTTGCACTTAAGTCAGTGTTTTTGTCAAAGTTTTCCAGAAAGGGGGAGGGGGGGCAGGGGGAGAGAGAGAGAGAGAGAGAGATTATGGGAATTGACTCAAGTGATTATGAAGATTGAGAAGTCCCATGATACAGTGCCTGCAATTTGGAAAATCAGGAATGCTGGGGGTGCAATTCAGTCTCAAATGCAAGTCTAAAAGCCTGATAACCAGAGGGTAACTGATGGTGTAAATTCTGGTCTGAGTCAAAGACGTGAAAGCATAAGGGTGCATAAGTAATGGTGTAAGTCCTTGCCTGAATCCAAAGACCCATAAACCAGGAACAATAATGTGCAAGGGCAGGTGAAGGTGGATAGCTCAATGCAAACAGTAAGCAAATTTGACCTTCTCCCTTTTTTTCTGTTTGGACCCTCAACAGATTTTATGATGTTCATCCATGTTGATGAAAGCAATCTTTACTCTGCCTACTGATTCAAATGCTAATCTCTTCCAGAAACACTCTTGAAGATATACTCAGAAGTAATGTTTTACCAGCTATCTGGGCATCCTTTAGCTCAGTCAAGTTGATGCATAAAATTAACCATCACAGTGAGTGTTTGTATTCTTTCTTTGTTTTCCTTTTATAACCATTACAACAACAACAAAAGAAACCGTTAACCCTTTCCCTGGTTAGTAAGAAAATGTGCAGCTCACTGCCAGTGCTCATTTAACTTTACATAAACACGCTCTTTGAGGCTGAAGCAAATCTGACTGGTGTTCAGTTTGAAAATAAAATATACAAACTGTTCTTGGAGTTACTTCCAAACAAAACTAACATCAGAATCGTCTAAATCATCACAATTGTCTATTTTGGAAAAATCGGATTCATCAAGTGAATCTCCAACCAACGACTGCTACAGAATGATATTAACATCATGCATAGGAATGCTACATTTTCTAGGATATGACATTTAGAGCGATTGAGAATTACTATATTTTGTAAATGTAAATCCCATTACCAAAACCAGAATGCTATAAATAGAATGATGTCTTTTGTTTCCAAAGTTGATATACTAGAATGCTGCACAAATAATAATAAAAGTGAGATATTGTGTGACAAAGTTATCTTGGGGTAAATGCTGCAGCTGCAAGCACCACTAGTGAGTATTCTTGGGGCAAATGGAAAAGAAAAGGGGTTAAGAAAGTGTAATTGTTCCATTTCCATAAATGTACTGCATCAAAAAGGAGGAATTAGTGGAATTAGCATAAATACTAGAGGACCTACTTAGTATTTGAGAGCAATTGGTGTCAGTTTTCCCAATTTTCAGAATTTAATGATCAATAAGAATCAATAAATATTTTTCGAATGAATGAATAAGATTAGCTTTCTTCTGAATGAGCTTAATATCATGTGGGAAATGAAGTGTCTGACAGGCGGAGAGTAGGTTCACCTGAGATGTTGCTGTCTGCCTCCCTCAACTCACTGTTCTCTATGCTGGAATGTGATCTAATTGATCTTTCTCTTTCACTTTACAGCCATTTCACAAGTTGCAATAATTTTAATTAGTGGTTTGTTTATTTTGTCTCTGTTACCCCTATTGTAAAGTAATACCCAAGTGAGTTATGGGCCATGTCTATCTTGTTCAAAATTTTAGCTTGGTAAATGTAAAGATGAGGCTCTCAGTTAAAATGTGTTGACCGGATAAATAAGCTTCTGCATGGGTTCTTTTGCATCTCACCAAAAAAAGGAAAGTGATTACATAATTTTTTTTTCTATTCTGATAACATCTGTTTGGTCTGGTCTGTGCATCAAACTTGCCATGAACTCACATTGGCTATCAACTTCACAGGGTGTTTGCAATGACAATTACCCTCAAAAACCCTGAATATTTATATACTAGGTCAATTACTTCACTAAATATGTAACATTACTAACAGCTGTGAGTCTGGTACTGCTGAAAACTAGTTGCCTATAAACCATTTGGCACTCAGATTTTTTATTTGGGAAAATTTGCATACAAATCTGGATTTCTGCTACCTTCTCTCCTTAGGAACTTAAGGACTCCTAACAAGTTAGGAACTAAATTAGGGAACCCTAACTGTTTCATCCTCGTTGAAATTTATACTGAAAAGCAATATGATAAAGGGACCTAGTCTAGAACTCATTTGAAAGAAGGAAGAGTATCTCCTACAGATGTCCAAGGTAATATAGCTAAGAAAAAAGATCTCATGATTAACTGAGGTTTTTCTAAACATGGTAGATTGAAGTTGTCAGCTGTAAGAGCTGCTAGTTCTGTAGCATACCCAGAAGAAAATGCAGAAATTAGAATAATGTTTGCAGGAGAGTATAGGCAAACGGAAATTTTATATTGTCTAAATAATAGTGCTTTATAAACATATTGCGCATACCAGGTGGATCTTGAAAGATTTTTGGACACAGGAACCCACACACAAAAGCCGATAATGTTCTTACCCTGTTCTTGACTGAGCTGTCACCCTGAGACAGTCATTTGGGCCTGGCTTCTCTCCACCTGCAGTGCCACTGCCAGAGTTAAACTCATAATCTCTCACTGCAGCTTTTCTAACTGCTTACCCTTTGGTGTACCTAGTCTTCAGTTAGCTCCCCTTATTAGTCTTCTCTATTGCTTTTTAAAATGGTAATTGACACTCCCCATTAGCTTACCTTTGCCTTCAAGAGCAATCAGAATTCATTAGCCTGACAAATAGGCCTCTACCCAGTATGTTTGATTTTTACTTCTCTCCAGTTATTGTATTCTGTCTTACCCTTTGTCTTGTCTCCTATAAATGTCAATTATTAACACATTTTTCAGCAATTTGCAAACACAATACTTTTTTTCTTAGACTTTGCCTTTTGCCATGCTTATTATTTTTTTTTTTTTCTTTTCAGAGTTGCTTCCCCCTTCTTTACTATGAAAAGTCAACTTTTGAGTCTTTTCTTAAATGCCATATCTCCTGGGAGGCTTTTTCTAACTCACAGGCAGAGATAGATATTCTGAAGCCTTAAATTTGTACCTTGGTCACAGTAAGTATCACCCATATTGTAATTCATTTGCTTATATGCCAATCTTCCTCCACTAGTCTGAGAAATTATTGATAAATTTTCACTGGCAACTACTTTATCTTTGTAAGCCTGGTTTATTTGTTGATTCTTATCAAGCTTTTGTTAAATGAATAATTATCTCGAGAAGCCAATCCCTCATAAAATCAGGTAGTAAAATTTCCTAGATATCTTAGAAGAACACTTTTGAAAACAATGGTCTAGAATATTCAAACCAAATTACATAATAAATTGTGAAAACAGAAATCTTACAGCAAGCATAGGGAGACTACAACCAAGCAAATAGGAATGCAGAAATGGCTTGAAATAATTACCTACTGGTTTTCGAGTGTTATACCTTTTTTTTGGTAAAAACACTGACTGACTCAAGTATTTAGTGAATGTTCCAGTAGAGGGATATTAGCTCACCAATGCTTTTGTTTCCACAGAAATAACTGCTGCTAATATAGTCTTCCATAATTGGTATCTGGGGGCTTGGAGGAATAAAAAGGGAATAGTTAATAACTAGATGGAAGGAATAAGATCTAGTGTTTGGTAGCACAATAGAACCATAGAGTCAACAATAATTTATTGTGTATTTCAAAATAACAAAAAGAATATAGTTGAAATGTCTTTAACACAAAGCAGTAATAAATGCTTGGAATGTAGGATATCACAATTACCAAGATTTGATCATTACATATGGTATGCTTTTATCAAAATACCACATTATTTCATACATTTTTTACAACTATTATATACCATATTTAAAAAAAGTAAAATCTAAGTTCGTGGACTGAGCGTGGTGTCTCATGCCTGTAATCCCAGTACTTTGGGAGGCAGAGGTGGGTGGATTACTTGAGGTCAGTGGTTTCAGACAAGCCTGGTCAACATGGTGAGACCCCATCTCTACTAAAAATACAAAAATTAGCCAAGCATGTAGGCACGGGATTGTAGTCCCAGCTACTCAGGAGGATGAGGCAGGAGAATTGCTTGAAGCCAGGAGACAGAGGTTGCAGTGAGCCGAGATCACACCACTGTACTCCAGCCTGAGCAATAGAGTGAAACTCTATCTCAGAAAAAAAAAAAAAAAAAAAATCTAAGTTCATTCATCCAAAGTGAATGTGGATTAATTGGTTTCCCAGGTAGATTGTAAAGATTAATAAAAACAGGGCCTGAAATCAGAAATATATATACTAATAATATTTTTGAATATGCAATTTTTAGAATAGGTAGAAGAAAGCCATTCCCTGCACAAGCTGATATCTGATCTGCTAGAGTAGATAGATAGATGTATGGATATCCCCTGCAGTTATTCATTTTTAAACATTAACTTATCTATTATTGTTTACTTGGATGGCATTATAGATGTAAGTTTGCGTATAATACTTCAGCACCATATTTAAATTAAAGCATCATCATCATCTTCTTTTGAAACTTGCCTCAATCTACGCACACTGGACATATGCTACCTATTTTTTCCCTTGAAGATTATATTGTTGGCTTAAGCAATTCCCTGGGTGATTTCAAAACTAAACAACAAAGAAATCTAGAAAATCACCAGGTTTCCATTCACATATCCATTGTAACCCAAGGTAATTGGAAATTGTTCCCTAGGAAATATCTGCAAAGCTCATAGTTCACCAATTTAAATTTGAGAACTAAACTCAATACTCCAGAGTATTGATTAAATTCTGCTTTCACATATGTATGTTTCAGAATAAATATATGCATTCTCACATGATTTTTTTATTCTAGGGAATTTTAATTTTGGTTGATAGATAAATATCATATAAGTATTAGTTCATTTCTTAACTGAGGACTAGAAAAATCTTAAGTTTCTCTAGGTGATTCTATTCAATTAATGAAATTCTAGAATGTATCCTCTAATATGGTATTGATGAAGTTGTACATATGTTTATTTGGATATATCAGAATCCATATTTCAAATTTATTGTACAACAATCATAGTTAATAGCACATATTTTTACAGTTGGGATTGTTTTAGAATCCCACAAGTTTTAAAAATTCACAATTAGGGATAGTTTTGGATATTTATTAGATGTAGCCTCCACAGACTTAGGAAAACTGTAATGAGGAATACATAAAGAAGACTTTATAAAAGTCTACACTAAATATAAGTACTACTATCTATATGGAATGTACGATAGAACATGGAGAGAAGCAACATAACATGAAGTATTATAGCACTCCAAAAAGAAAACAAAAAGTTACAAGAACCATTATATTTGTATTATGCAAACAGAAAATACAACATTGGAGTAGTTCTGCTAGAGACAAGTGTTGCTACCATGTATGCTTCAATTGTGTTCAGTTCTCTTGTAGTGCTCTCTCTCAGTACCTTATTATTTTACCTGCTACATCAATCTGTGTGGCAGTCAAAACACCGCAGTGTGATATGACAGAAAATACACAGGAAAAACGGTTCATTTATTTGTGTCTGATGCTTGCTTTCAGTTTACATCAGAACTTTGAGTTATGAAAAGAGTTGACAGATGGAAGCAAGGGTAGGGCAGCTGGCTTATATTACAGTCTTCTGTACCTTTGAATCACTTTGTAAAAATGAAATTGTTTCTGCACACTTAAAAAAAAACTTTAAAATTAATGCGATTTGAAGAATTTTGCTTTTACGTATGTATTTCCGTGTATTTTTGAACATAATTGGAAGGTTATGCTATTGACTCATGAAAGTTCCATTTACCAACCTCGTATTTCTATAGTGTTAAATATGTGGCAGACTGACTCACAGAATCTGACACTAGGGCATCCTAGGATTGCCTGTGGTGCTGTATCTTTCAAGAATGCCTCAATATAATTTTAATGAAATGTGCTTAATTTCAGTGAATTTAACATAAGCACCGTTATTAAAGAAAGATGTTTTAAGAGGATTAAAACACAGTGATTTTGTATTTTTGTAATAAGAATTTTGTTTTGTAAAAGAGAATATTTATTTTATAGTATCTTTACTTTAACATAGCAATTTTAATAACCAAATTATACAGACAATTGTTTGCACTGCTATTAATATCTGTGGCTTTTTCTTATCCAGCAGTGTCAGCAAAGCAGAAAGTAAATCCATTGCTAAAGAAATGGAAGTTAAGATGGTCTTACCTGAAAACAGAAACAATATAGTATTGTAGTGGAGACTGGTGGTTCCTTCACTGTATGAGTTAGGAATACAATTCTGCTATGACATATCTCTGCTAATCATAGACTCAGGGTTGGTGAGAACTGGAAATGAATGTTAGTAGAAACTGTATTTAATTAACTCTAGAAAACGATAATAATTCCTTGAGTTCTCAATTTTTCTTCAAATGTTGACAACTCTATTAACAGAATATAGTATTGAAATGTTTTAAGTGTGCCCACGTTAGAGATCTGAAAAATTAATTTTGTACCCCAGATAAAGAAATAATTTGAATTCAAGTCTCTAGAACTTACCAGGTCTGCTTACATCCTGCTGTGCTAATGCAAGTTAAAGCAGATGCTTTCTATGGAGGTAAAAGACTAACAATATAAGCAAGATAATATTCTTCATTTTGAGATAAGAAATGAATAATGCTTCTCATTCCATGCTTTTTCCCTAATGTATATATCTTAAGATTTTGGAGGTACCATCAATACTGTATGTTCCTTCTGTTATGAGAGAGACACGCTTTCAAGTCCTTAGGTTCTGCCTCAGCTAAACTCTCATGTCTGTGCCTTCATAAGATCAGATGGAAAATATTATTTTCTAAGTAATTACTTCAGTGAGAAAGTTAAAGAAAATAGTCTTTCCTAAATATGGATGACAGATTATCAGTCTGCTTTTGTAGATAAGTAAGCCAAGTTTGTGACAGATTATGGAATTGTAAAGGTAAATGAGATATGGTAATTTATTGGAAATATTTTCTGATAATAATTTCATTATCAGAAAATTTTCCAGTCTCATTTAAACCATTGGTCTCTGAGGTAGTTAGGTGACAGTAAATTTAGATAAAAGCTAATCAGACTGTCTTCAATTTCTTAATGAGGTAAAATACAAGCAGTAAGAGAAACACAAAAATAATTCATCTTTTGTGGGGGAGTTGAAATGAAAATTCTGTAAATTGATTGTTTCCAAGCTTACTAAAGATGAGTTACAGGTAAATAAAAAAAATAAAAATAAAAAAAATTGGAGCTGGAAGTTTTTAGGGAGAACAATAGTTCTATAAGGAGGAAAACTGATCAGCCATTGCAATACTGTTCTTTACCCCATTTATAGCCAATCCTTGTTATTTAATTATTTATTCTTTGTTTTAATATTTATTGCAGGCTAATTATGTGACTAACTTTTACTTAGGTACCCTCTGAGATACCTCCGTATTTCCATCAAAGATCTTAGAATATAGAAAAATAGGGATCACATGAATACAGAGTCATATTAAGACAAACGTGCAATTACAGGACATATGATATACATGTGCTACATATCTTAAATATTTTAAACATGTAAAATTCATTAAAATAAATATTTATACTATTAAAATGCCATATACATTTTAATTGTGAAGTTATATAGCAACTCATTTTCCTCTTCTGCAAAAAGAAATAACAGTTGTAGAATATAAATTTTTCTCCTCAGCACAGGGAACATTTTCAAGGATAGACTATATGTTATGCCACAGAACAAGTCTCAAAAATTAAAATTAAAGAAAATTATATCAAATATATTTTTGACCACAACAGAATAAAACTAGAAATTAATAGCAAGAGGTACTTTGGAAAGTACAAAACACATGGAAATTAAACAATATGGTCCTGAACAACAATAAGGTCAATGAAAAATTAAGAAGAAAATTCAAAAAACTTTTAAATCAAATGAAAATGGAAATGCAGAAGCAGTACTAACAGGGAAGTTCATAGTGATAAACATCTATTATACATCAGAAAAGTAAAATTAATAAAAGCTTCAGATAACCTAATGATGCATCTTAAAGAACTCA